GGTCCGTCGTCGTCGTGTGTGTGTGTGTGTGTGTGTGTGTGTGTGTGTGTGTGTGTGTGTGTGTGTGTGTGTGTGTGTGTGTGTGTGTGTGTGTGTGTGTGTGTGTGTGTGTGTGTTTTAGGTTCGCAGAGGGCGTGAACATCTGACAGAAGTGATGGCCGTTCCCTTGAAACCAATCCAATACACACAATCAACTGCTCACGCACTCACGCTTCTGAAATGTACGCGAGACTCTGCATTGTCATATCGGCGGCGTCCTGTCCAGCATCCATTTCAAGCAATGTCATGGCGAGCAGCAAGCAACGCGCAGAGTAAGATTTCCATGCCATCTCTTGCGCTCTTGTGCTCGCGCATAACCAAATCACGCACACATGCGCACGCGCGCACGCGCGTGCAAGGCTTCAAAAGACAATCTTCTTCTTCCTTCCACCTCCCATCGTAACACGGCCGCACCTGCAGCTCGTAGGAGAAGCCGAGCATAAGGTTCACGGAGGCCACGTGCTCTGTACCGAGCAGCGGCAGCGAAATGTCAATCTCCAGGTCCTCCGGTCTCCCATCAAAGTTTGCATCACGCTCACGCGCCTGTCACAACAGCAATGACAACAATGACAGCAGCAACAGCAGCAACAGCCCAGGTAAGAGGATGCGACGTGCTGCGAAACGCGTGTGGCGCACGGTTGCACATTTCAACCTCAGCCCACTTCCACCCACTAGCATATGTACTCAAGCACACGACGCAGTCAGAGAGCATCGCGGCAGTACCGTAACGACGGGAAAGCGGAGCGCATCTCCCAGCATGGCGTTGATTTCGGGAATGGATGTCCACGTCATGATGGGCAGGCCGGCCGAGTCCAGCGCCGTGACCACAATCTCATTCTGGAAGAAGACCAGCGGATCCTCCCTGTACGTGGCTTCCTCCAGCAGGAAACCTGTGAATACACCACCAAAACAGGGCAAAAGGATGGGACAGGAAATGAGACAGGAAGTGTGTGTGTGTGTGTGCGAATGAAAAGAACAACCACAAATGAAGCACAAGGAACGCACGCACGTGTTTTCAAACACGCACACACATGCACACAACCATGTCTGACCTCCGGTTCGAATGCAGACGAGCAGAGGGGCGACGACGATGATGACCAGGCCCAAGAAGGCGCACAGCCCTGCCCCACTGCATGGCCCAGCATGCCATCGCCTCTCCAAAGGCTCCGCCAACACACAAACCATGTCCGTGTGCGATGTGTGCGATGTGTGTGTGTGTGTGTGTGTGTGTGTGTGTGTGTGTGTGTTGGTGAGCAGCGGCGACCGTTGCTGAAATTCGATGAATGATTTCGCGATTCTTCCAAACTTCCACCACCAAAACAACAAGGAAGACAAAAGACGATGGCGACGTTGGCAGAACAGTACACGGAGGTGCGGGGACGGCGGTGTTGTGTGTCGTTTCTTTCTGGTAATGGGTTCGTGATGTTGGGCCTCGCCTCCTTTGACCCGTTCAGTGACATTCACAAAACATCGCTGTCATTGTGCAGGTGAAAGACTGGCTGCAAGAGCTGTTTCGTGACGAGGATGACGTGCCCCCGTTTGACAACAATGCAGCCACGATCCAAGGTGTGCGTGTGTTGGGTGTGTTGTGTGTCTGTGTGTTGTGTGTGTGTGTGTGTGTGTCTACGTGTGTTGTGTGTGTGTGTGTGTCTCTGTGTGTGTGTGTCTCTGTGTGTGTGTGTGTCTACGTGTGTTGTGTGTTTACTGTGTTTGTGTGTGTGTGTGTGTGTTTTCCATGTGTGTTTTTGAATGTGTTCCGTGCATTAATGAGCGACGGAAGAAGGCATCGTTGCACATTGCACCCTAACACTGCTGCCCCTTGCTTGCTGAATGTAGCGTTGTATTCCTTATGTCGGGAGAGCAAGAAGACCGATGCCATGGCAGAAGCCGCAACCACAGATGCAACTAAGCGGGCGCAGGAGTACAGATTAGGAAGTGCGCAGCTCACAAGCTTGCTCGATTCCGTTGGTGTCTCCGAAAACGCTCTCACTCCCACAGGTAACGTGACACTGTGTTCCGGCTGCTGTTGTTGTGCTCGTTGTGACTTGTGAAAGTGTCGTCGTTGTTCCCCATGGCCCAGTTCTTAAAGTGACAGTGCTTTCCCTCTGCTTTTATGTTGCACATGACTGTTTTAGGGCGTGAGGCCTTGGATGCTCTCGTTGAAACGCAACTTCAGTTGCAAACACGCGACAACGACGGATACACGTAAGAGTATGTTGTTCTTGATGTTCTTGTTGTTCTTGTTGTTGTTGTTGTTGTTGTTCTTCTTCTTGTTGTTGTTGTTGTTCTTCTTGTTGTTGTTGTTGTTGTTGCTGTTCTTGTTGTTGTTGTTGTTGCTGTTCTTGTTGCTCTTGGTCTTGTTGTTGCTCTTGTCCAATGTTTTTGCATGCACCGATGCCATCGCATTCAGCCATGCGTTCCTGCCTCACTGTGCAATGTCGCTGCTGAACCTCTACATCGCTGCCGTGCCTGCAAGCATCATGGCGGGCGTAAGCCATCACGAGGGCCAGCGGCATGCGGCGCGCCACGCGCACGCGCGCGCGGCAGAAAGACTTCAGAGAACACAAACTGCATGTGCACAAGCACAACGCCGACTCAACGCCACAACAAAGTGCGTGTGTACGTGTGTGTGCGTGTGTGTTTGTGTCTGCACAACAGCAAGTTGTACGACTGTATCTTCTTCCTCCGCAGTCCTTGACCACCACCGCTTCTTCCACAAACCACCACTCTAACACTCCCCCACTTCCCGCGTGCTGCAGGGTGTGCGATGATCTCTCACGCGGCAAGACGGCGGCTGCTGTTGATGCGCGCTGGCGGGAGGCGGATGTGCAGCAGCAGCTCGAGGCCGTCGCAGACACCAAGCGCTCCCTCACACACAGAGAGGTGTGTGAATGTGTGTGTGTGGGGGTGTGTGGGTGTGTCTGTGTGTGTCGGTGTGTGTGTGTGTGTGTGTGTGTGTGTGTGTGTGTGTCGGTGTGTGTGTGTGTGTGTGTGTGTCTGCTTGTGTGTGTGTGTGTGTGGGTGTGTGTGTCGGTGTGTGGGTGTGTGGGTGTGTCTGCGTGTGTCGGTGTGTGGGTGTGTGGGTGTGTCTGCGTGTGTGTCTGCTTGTCTGCTTGTCTGTCTATCTTTGTGTATGTGAGTGTATCCTTATCCGTCTGTCTGTCCGCGTCGCTGTCCTTAAGGCATTCAGGCTGTTTGTCCGTGCCTTGTTCTGTTGCAATTCACTGACCCACACCCGCCTTTCCTTCCCCCCATCTTCGTTTCGTTTTCGCTTCGTTCCGTGTGCAGGCTCACCTGGAGCGTCTCGGTTTCTCCAGCGACATTATGCACAACAACTTGCAGCAGCTGCAACAGGTGAGGCACCGTGCCTCCCATGCGCACACATGCACACACGCAATCTAGGCAGTCATCTCCAAGGAAATGTTGTGGGGCAGCTGCTTCCTCGTTCACACTTCACCTCCCAATGCTTCTTCCCTCTTTTTCAGGCTACGGCAGCCATTCAGCGCGAGTGCGATGCCCTCGAGCAACAGCTCCAGGCCGTACAACCACTACCCAAGGTGGGCAGATGTGTGTGTGTGTGTGTGTGTGTGTGTGTGTGTGTGTGTGTTGTGTTGTGTCTAATAGTTTTTTGCCCACATATCCGCTCCCTCCCTCCATCAATCACTCACACGGATACTCCCTCCCTCCCTCACCCACACCCCCCCCCGCCCTTGTAGGATGTGCGAGAAGCGCGCGTGTATCTGGAGCGTGCGCGGCTACGGCGGCAACAGCTCGTGGACAAGCTCAAGGCAAACTTTGATCACATGTAGCAGCAGCTGATGTGCCGTTGCAGTCACGCATACACACACGCACACACACACACACACACACACACACACTCTCTCTCTCTCGTTATGCGGCGCTAAGGCTCCTGAGCCAAGAGCTTCCATTCGACGCTCGTGTGCTAGAAGTCAAATCGACCCTGGCTGGCCCATGTAAAAGTCGTGGCAGGCTCTGGGACTCGTAATAATCGGGACAGGAAAGACCGAAGCTTTTTTGATCCCTTCAAATAATGACAGCAAGTTCCGACACACACACACACACACACACACACACACACACACACACACTCTCTCTCTCTCTCTCTCTCTCTCTCTCTATCTCTCTCTCTCTCTCTCTTCTTGTTGAGCAAAGCTCTCGCAGTGTACAAACCTTGCAAACAACAGTGCCACCAGACCACCAAACACAAACGCACGTCCACACCAACCGCAACCAACATGCCTGCCACTGTCACAACATTACATTGCTCATTGACCCGACGTCATCAGTCAGTTACACACGCACGACGGAACGATGCCTCGTTTGTCAAAGGCATGCATTGTATGTATGCCTACCTTTACCTTGCTTGCTCTCTTCCTCGCTTGCGTTGCTGTGCACGTGCGTGCATGTACGCATTGAGAGCAGCCGTGTCCGTTGTGTGTCGGTTGTGGCCGTTGTCACGAACGACAACGAACGTTCCCTTGACGTTCACGAAGGGTTGTTGATATCTTCCCGAAAGTTTCCCGATCCACCCTTTTTCTTCAAACGCCCACAACCACAACCACAACAAAACTCTCTCGGCGAAACAAAGCACCACACGATGCGATGCGCCGCCTACGCACCCACAAACCAAAACACACCCTCTCACATGCACTCATTCACACAGCAGCCAGCCAGTCGTCAGTCAGTCAGGCTCACACGCACACCACGGACAGATACGCACTGCACCTCGCTGCTCTGAGATAAGAAAATCTGGCACTCGCACTCGCATTCAGTCAAGGCAGTCACTTTCCATACACAACCGACGAGCAACTACCCAGCACCTGCGGCCAAACCAACACAGCAAGCAGTCGCTTGCAAACACATAATATGATGAAGAGCAGAGGGTCTGCGCTCAACACAAGTGCAACTGCAACGGCACTAGCACCACTGATACCAACAACGGCAAAAAGAAGAGGAGCGCCAAGGCCAACAACACTTGCAGCAGAGAAGTACACAAGCAAGCGTGCCGCCTCGTTGGCCTCCGCAATGCCGGTGTCTCGTTCGGTTGTTGTGACAGCGCTGGTGACGACGGTGTTGGCGCTTTTGCTGGCAGCGGCACCGAGGAGTTGTGCCGCTGCCTCATCGGAGCGACCAAATGTCCTGATTCTGTTCTTGGACGATGTCGGTGCAGACCGGTTTCCGTTCTACGGGTCCAACATTGACGTGTCGCCCAACCTGAATGAGCTCTACGAGCGAGCAGTGACGCTGGATGCGTTTTTCACCCAGCCCATCTGCGGCCCGTCGCGCGCGTGCCTCCTGAGCGGCCGCCTCACGTCCAACACAAAGGCGTACAGCAACGGGCACAAGCGGAACAAGGACTTTGACGAATCCGAGTGCACGTTGGGCTCTGTGTTCCAGCAGGCGGGCTACCGCACCGGCTTGTTTGGAAAGCTCCATGCTTCACACCCATACGTGAAGACGCTTGACACCAGCTGTGGCTTTGACACCTGGGCCGTTTGGGCCCGTCGAGGCCCTCGCTACCACAACTCAACGGTGCGACATGGTTGTGTGCGTGTGTGTGTGTGTGTGTGTTTGTTTGCGTCATGTGTGTTTGTGTGTGTGTATGTTTGTGGTGTTCTGGAGGGTGTTGTTTGCGTCTATGTGTGTGTGTGTGTGTGTGTGGTTTGTGTTTGTGTTTGCATGTATGTGTGTGCGTGTGTGTTGCCCGTTTGCTTGCTTTCCCTCCTTTTCCCTTTTCCCTCCCCCTCCTTCTCTCCCTTTCTGTGTCCAACGTGCATGCATGCATGCATGTACGTGTTCTCGCCCATGCCGTCCCTCACCCTTGCCAAACCCACCCCCAACCTCCCCCACCCATTCATGTAGATTGAGACAAACATTGGCGAGGGCAACCTAACCTTTGATGGCCTCGTGGATGCCGTGCTTGATCCCGAGAGCGCATCTGTTCCACGCCGCGTCGCCCTCACCAACACGTACCACCCGCACCTGAACCGCGAGCTGGCAAAGGCCTTCATCTCCACCAGCGTCGCAGAGGACCAGAACTTCCTCCTGCACATGCCCATGATCCTGACCCACGGCCCATATGAGGACAAGCCGCAGGACCCCTCACTCCCGGCCGACATGGAGGCTGAGGAGGACAACGACGCGCTGTTCAACCAGCGGCTGATGGTCGCCGACGCCGTGGTGGGCGACATCCTGCGCCACATGGAGGTGGAGGGCGTGGCCAACAACACGATTGTCGTTGCCATGGGCGACAACGGCACGCCGCGCAAGTACTCGTCGATTGTCAACGGCGTCGAAACGCGCTCGGGCAAGCGCCACGCCGGGGAGACCAAGGGCACGCGCGTGCCGTTCCTCCTCTTCGACCCGCGCCTCGGCACCACGCCCCGCACCGTGAAGCCCATCACCAGCATGGTTGACGTCCTGCCCACGCTCATGGACGCCACGGGCGTGAATCAGTTGCCTGCAGGCAAGGACCCGCTGGATGGAACGAGCTTCTGGCCGCTCGTGACGGGCGAGTCGAAGCGGCGGCGACAGTGGTCCTTCCTCTTCTCCAAGACGCGCGCGCCGCACGCCGTGGTGCGCAACCGAAAGATCATCATCACCTCGGACGGCACCGTCTACCGCGAGCGCAAGTGGTACGATCCGGTGCAGATCACGCCCGAGGTGGTGTGCCGCAAGCGCAAGTACTTCCGCCGGTTCAAGAGCATGGTGAAAGAGGCGTGGAAGCTGGACATTGACGTGACCTTCCCAGGTTCCGACACCGCCTACCCGCCCAACTCCTGCTCCAAGATTGTCTGCAACGACGAGACAAGCCTGCCAGAGTGTGTCCCTGCATGCCCGTGCAAATGAGAGCGTGTGCGTGGACACGCATCGAGATGAGGAGCGCCAACTGCTGCAGTTTTGGGACTGAGGGCCTCCTTATTTTGCAGTGTTGGGGTTTTTCGTCGATTCCCAATCCCCTTTCCCTCCCACACATGAACGCATGCATGCACATACACACACACACACACACACATATCTCATGTTTATTCCTGTACTCTGTGCGTGTGCTCTTCGTTTCCCTGGCTGGCTGCCTGTCTTCGCGTCAATCAATCCGCCTACACATGTCCATAGATGACCCGTTAACCCATCCTAGCATCCTGTTGCCCACAGACTTGTGCTCCCTCTTCGCGGCTCTCTTTCACATGTTCGTTCCTTTTCCAACACCGCGTTGATGTTGTTGCTGTTACATGCACACACACAACGTGTCCTTAACGGTTCGATAGTTTTTGTCCTTCTCTTCGTCAATAAAGCAAGTCAAGGATGAACCACTCGCTGCCGCTGACAGGGTTGGCTGCATGTTTATTTGAAGACATGGGTGGGCTTGAAGAAGAGGGGGGGGGGAGGAGGGATTTGGCCGAGCATGCACACACACACACACACACACACAGAAAAAGAGAG